CCTCAGGTTGATCACACTCACTGACTCACACGATTCAGTATATACTAAGCTGGTAATCTCATGAACAGACATGTACATCGAATCCACTCTAACAAGCTCTTGTTGTATGTATATACTACCGTCCAATGGGGATATAGTACGACCAGCAAAATCGATTGTATCGCCTGTCTAAAACGCCCTAGTGTTCTTGGGCTCTGTAAATCCCTCTCTGATGCAGGTAAGCATCAGAGGGGTCTAAACCCTAAACTCTGAAACAACAACAGAGGATGGGTCAAATGACAAGGGAATGCTCCAAGCCTCCAGCAATGCCACCTTGCAATCGCCCACTTTTGCAAACCAAGACAAATCAGAAGTCCAGCTTCTTAGCTTGTCGTCTCTGTTCTATTCTTGCTCCAGCATATGGATGGCAGGATGGGATGGGACCTGACGTCATGAAGCTTTTTTTTTAACCATCAGTTGTCGGACGCATCCTCCAAACGAGACCATGGCCGCTTTCAGAAATTCAGACAGTCACACTCGCCCACAGGATGGTTTGGATGTTTCTTGTACACATTCAGACTGAAATGTGAAATGGAAGGACTCTTGATCAGAAGATTGTCTTGTAGCTTCAAATAATCCCAATGGTGAAGATGAATTCTAGGAGAATAATTGCAAGCTGCATAGTTGTTCCACCAAGATGCCAATAATAGAACCACTGAGGTTTGATTTTTCTTTTTTGAAGCAAACAGGAGGGGATCCCCTACTGGTTTTTTATTGCAAAACAAGGGTTATTTACAAAAGCAGACTAAAGGGACAGGAAAGAAAAACAAAAAAGAAAAATTAAACGAAAGCATTTAGCCATGGTTTTATCACAAGGAAGTAATTCTTGTTTGCTCGCAGGATTGTCCTGGCAAACTCAGACTTGAAATTTCCTTGCAGAGCAACTGTTGGTGTCAAATTCTGGAAGATGAAGGTTGTTTCTTATTGTCCAAATACTCCAGCAAAGCAAGATAATAGTTTTCATGAAAAAAAGGAACCGGAAACTGAGATTTGAAGCCCTCCAAAATAACATAAGGATGATCAGTGCTGACTGGAACTTGAAGACGGTGAGAGTTGCCTGACCTAGTGCTATCCAGGCTAGGTGCCAGATGTGGACGGGGATGCAGCCCAAGATGATTGGTTGCTAGGCCCAATCTGTGCCAGGCCGAGCTGGCTTCTTGTTTGGTTTGTAGCTGGCTTCTTGATTGGTTTGCTGCAGGCCGGGCTTGCTTGCAAGAACTTGTGCAAGTTGACTTGTTTGATTGTTTGATTGGATGGAGGTGTTGTTACTAGAGATGAAAACGGTCGAAAACTGCCGGAAAACATCTCAATCGTTTTCTACTTTTACCTTTGAATACAAAAATAAAAACGAAAGCAGTAAAGCCGGACACGAAAACGGACACGAATATCAAGAATTTCGAAAACAAACTAATTCGACCGGAATTATGTCGAACACGGTTGGTATACGAAAAATCAATATGGAATATTGACCAGTAGGACCGAGAGCATAACAATTAACAAGTGCATGACCAAGTAAATAACAATTAACAAGTCCTACAACTTTCTTAAAAGTATCTCCATTTGACACCACATAAGAAAGATATGATTTTTCTAAGGCAGCAAATGCTAGCTTGTACGTGATTTATATACTGCTGAAACTTTATTTATTTTTTTAACATCTTAAAGGACTCAAATGAAAAAGCTAAAAACTAGAAAGTTGTAGATCTCGTCGAAAGCTATAATTTTCATATAAAAATCATCTTCATCCGAGATCGTATGAAAAAGATATAATTTTTCTAAGGCTGGACTTCTAGTGGGCCAAATTCCGAATTTCGAATTCGGTTTAAATCGAATTTTGAATTCGGGATATTCCGATTTAAAAGTAGAAAAGTAGAAAACGGTCGGAAATTGACTAAACCGTTTTCGTTCCGATTTTGAATTTCATGTTCCGAATTTCGAACCGAATTCGAATTTGTCCGAAAATACAAATTCGATCGGATCAAATGTAGAAAACGATGCGGTTTGGTACGGGATATTTCCGTTCCGTTTTCATCCCTAGTTGTTACCATAAGTTGGGTTGTGATTTTCTAAAAAAAAAAGGGTTGTGGTGACTTCACCGCCAGCTGCTACATTCTAGAAAACGGCTAAATTCCACACAATGATGATAACAATTTTGCATTGGAATAATATTAGTTCGATAAACATTGCAAGTTAACAAATATTGCAACATTAGTTTGAAAGCGGGTCTATTATTTAATTGTCTTACCAATCCATTACATAGGCTAACTAACTTAGATACTAGTTTATCTTGTAAACCAGAACAACAATGACCAACTATGATCACAACATATTAGAGCAGCTCCAATGTGATTGGAAACCGAACTGTGAGGAGAGAGAAGTAGCAGTATGGTTCGATTTTAACGTTGGAGCTAGCGAACCGTGTACATCGATTTCTCAAATCGGCTGCTTGTTTCAGTTCGAACCAAGGGAATAAACAACGCACAGAAATAAGATGCGGGAAACAAGGGGATCAGAGAATGATGCGGTTGTGAATTGATGACTTGCTATAATTATTTACTCCAATATGGAACCCATCAATCGAACTCTACACAAGAGCCACCGAACCGTAATAAAAATCAATTTTACAGGGCCAACAGCTTCTTGGAATCGAACTCCACACTGGATGCCCTTAGCCATCTTCTTCTTAGCTACTCCATGACCACTCTGATCCTGATACAGATATTGGCTCCTCTTGAGATAAACATTAAGCTAACACACAACTTGCTTCATCTTCAATGGTTTTGCTAGCCGTTTAGAAAGCCAGCCACTTGAGCATGACATTCAAACCAATGGAGTTGTGCGGAAGGACCTGACCGGGAGGTGGTGCAATGAGTGTGCTTACTACTTCCTAATACAGTGGTTGTGCAAGTCAAAACCGTACGCAACAAGACAGATGGCGTGGCACGTCATCCCTGCATTGAAGGGCTGTTTGGATTGAGCCTGCCGAGCAATGTGTTGCTTGGGAAATCCTCCTCATGAGTGGAAATTGAGGAGAGTAAATGCTCCCAGTGAGTAGACCCACACGTCATAGGTGCAGCATAGGAAATGGGCCAACCTTGCGTGCATCTAGTGTTTTGCCCCTTGGCTTACAAGAGAAGGAAAAGGAAGCTTCGTGAGCTTCAGTTCAGCAGAGAGAGAAGCAGCTCCAGTTCAGCCCCTTGCTCCTTGCACGTGAGAGAGGGAAGAAAACCAGAGAAAAAAAGGAAAGAGAGAGAGAGAGAGAGAGAGAGAGAGTGAGTGAGTGAGATTAGAGAGGAGATCTTGCAATAGATCAAGATGGATTTGTCCTCAACCGTTGTGAAGCTTCGGATCCACATCGTTTGTGCTTCTAATATGAATTCCACCATCATTTGGTGAGGTCTTTTCATTCCATAAGCAGCCCCAAATCTTATTGTTGTTATCCAAGATCTATTGTATCTTGATATATGGTTGCCTCTAGTGCTATCTAGAGATAAACTTGTTGTAATCCCACAAACATATAGTGGAAGAATATTTTGTTGGCTTGGTCCTGTTGTTTTTACCCTGATTTGGGGGTTTTCCACGTTAATCTGGTGTCTTGCTGTTTATGCGATTCTAGTTGTAACTAGTTGCGACTGCAGTTGGAAGTAATCTGCCGCAACTAGTTGTGCTTGTTGTTGTTGCTGTTGTGATCAGTTGCAATCAGCTACAACTGGGTTGATGTGATAACGACTGATTGGGACCAGTTGTGACTGCTGCTATTTCCTCCATATATATGTGTGATGCATATTCTTCCTTCGGTGAATAGGTGATGACCCTAAGCTGATTTCGCATTGTGGTGAAATTAAGCGTTTCCGCTGTCATTAGCAAGTGTGTTAGTGTCCCAACACAATGCATGGCCAGTCAAGCAATCCTGGCCACAAGCATCCAAAATTGGACGCTTGGGAGCTATGCGTGGCCCAGGCAAGTTTGTGAAGCTTCAAACCAAACATGCCCTAAGAGCTGAGGCAAATCTATGTGGGGATGGGTAACTACAGCGGTGTCATCTGGTTTTTTTTTTCGAATAATAAAACTAGAGCCAATAAGCAAAGGCACGGACATTCTAGCGTGAACAACATCCAAAAAGAGAACCCAATTAAGCTTTTATCGGCAATAATATAGGCCAAGTTCTTCCCTTATAAAAAATTTATATTAATTTGGTACATTATCTTCGATCTAGTTCCATTATCCATGCATCTGCATATGACTTGTACGCCCATTATTATTCATGCTAGCGTGATACACGACCACCGTAGGACCACCAAGCGTGATACACGACCGCTATAGGACCACCTAGTCATGATCCTCGCTACTTTGGGTCATCATCATGCGCCCTTGCATGAAATCGATCAACACAGACCAGGAGACATCTAGCTTTACGATCGATACAGGACGGCTCAACGACAAAGTTTTGCTAGAGAAGAACAGGTATGTGTTTTGTTTTGTGAAAGCTAAAGTACAGTTTGTATTATTTCGTTATTGCAAGTATAGTAAAAAGGATCGTAAATAGCTAGGTTTTATCTTAATAAGTAGGGGAGAAATGGGAATTAATAAAGGAGAGAGGAGAAGTGGACTCTAAGGCCTTGTTTGGATGCTATCGAATTCACCTCAATCCATATATGTTGCGGTGGATTGAGATGTAATTTAGTTTAAGTTCTACTTCAATCTATCCCAACATATATGGATATATGCGAATCCGATTACATCCATCCCAACATATATGGATATATGCGAATCCAATTACATCCAAACCAGGCCTAAATTTATTTCTGGTGGCGAGCGAGTCATCCTTGTTCACACGAGAATCTGTACGATGAATTATTTCACCAGAAATATATAATTGGTGGTCAAGGTGGTCCAAATTAAAGGCAAATGTGTCCTTAGCTTGCTTGCATTGCATCCACAAGGTAAGCAACAAATGAACGATGGCAATGCGCGTATTCAATGAAACACAGGTGATCACGAAGCCTATTTATAACGGAGGCAGTCAGGCAGAGATCGATATCCTCATCTCACTCACTGAAGCACGCACCAGAGGTAGAGCTAGAGCTAGCTACAATGCAACAAGACAGCTGGCGGCGGCCGGGGGGAAGAAGAAGATGCTGGCCACCCTGGTGGGGTGCAACTACGCCGGCACGCCGTTCGAGATGCAGGGCTGCATCAACGACGTCCACGCCATGCGCGCCGTCCTCCTCGACCGCTTCGGCTTCGCGCCAGGCGACGTCACCGTGCTCACCGACGACGATCCCAAGAAGCTCCCGACCCGCGACGCCATCAAAGGCGCGCTGGATGACATGTCATGCGCGGCGAATTCGCCGACGGCCCTGGCGGCTGCCCCGACGAGGTCATTGTGCCCGGCGACTTCAAGATCATCACAGGTCCCGGAAGCACTCCCATGCACGCATGGCGCGTCGTAGTCGTCGTCGTTTCGTTTCTGACCTCTGACTGAGTACTGACATGCTTGCATGCACGCACGCACGCACGCGACGTCGGTCGGTGGTCGTTACGGCAGACCTGTACTTCCGGGAGCTGGTGGACTGCGTGCCGGCGGGCGCCACCTTCACCATGGTGTCCGACTCGTGCCAGAGCGGCGGCCTCATCGACCAGGAGAAGGAGCAGATCGGTCCAGCCGCCGCCGCCGCCGACCCTCACCTCCACGCCGGCGCTTGTGCCCGCCGGCTCCTCCCGTACACCGTGGTGCTCAGCCACCTGTCGGCCGCGTCGGGCCTGGGCGCGTCGGCCGATCCCCTCGTGGCGCTACTCGGCGACGACGCCAGCGCCAAGTTCCACGCCAACACCGACGACGCCAACGCCATGATCACCGACGACGCCAACGCCGAAGTGCGGGGCAAGGCGGCGTACGGGGCGTTCACCAGGGCGCTGCAGGCCGTGCTGGCGGCGCACCCGGCACCGATGAGCAACCGGGAGGTGGTGCGCCGTGCCAGGGAGGTGCTGAGCGAGCAGCGGATCCCGCAGCACCCCTGCCTCTACTGCAGCGACGCCAACGCCGACGCCCCGTTCCTGGGGCAGCAAGACAGCAAGGCCAAGAGCAACTGAGCAAGGAGCCAAGTAGGCGGCCGCCATGCCCACGCTCTTATTATTATTTTATTTTATTAGTAGTAGTAAATAACTAGCGTGTGGCGTGTGCTTATTATTATTATTTATTATATTAATAACTACGTGTGCATAACTGCATATACACGTAAGGGAAAAAATTGTATGCATGCGCATAAATAAATCTCAAGAAAAAAATGTTTGCTTTTCAACTTGCTTCTCAGAAAAAAAAAAGTCATTGCTTTAAATTGGAGTGTCATGTGAATGTGATGAAAAAAGGAAGAAAAACAAACAAGACAGAGGTGTTTGTTTGCCCATACCGCCAACCGGGGCACCGGCACCTGCGTCCGGCGCCCAACCCGCGCCCCCACGCCGCCGCCGCCGCCGCCTGCCGGTATTCCAGCTCCGCCCACCTCACCTAAGCTGCTCTGCTTCACCGATTCTGGACCGGTGCTTGGAGCTGGGGCACATCATCTTAGGCTGAACAAGGTGCATCCAGACCTGTACACATACAACATTCTCACTGGTTGTTTCTGTCGCTTGGGTCACCTGGAGGATGGCTTCGCTGCCTTCGGCCTCATCCTTAAGATAGGCTGGAGGGTGGATGAAGTAGTCATCAATCAATTGCTCAAGGGCTTCTGCGATGCCAAGAGGGTGGGCGAGGCCATGGACATACTGCTCGGAAGAATGCCTGAGTTTGGCTACATGCCGAATGTAGTTTCCTGCAACACGCTTCTCAAGGGTTTCTGCAATGAAAAGAGAGTTGAAGTGGCACTTGAGCTGCTGCACATGATGGCTGATGATGGACATGGAAGCTGCACACCAGATGTGGTGTCCTACAGCACCGTTATCAACGGTCTGTTTGGCGAGGGTTAGGTGGAAAAAGCTTACAACCTGTTCCTTGAAATGTTTGATCGGGGGATTTCACTAGATGTTGTGACATACAACACGATCATTTATGGCCTGTGCAAAGCTCAAGCAGTTGACTGGGCGGAGGGTGTCCTTCAGCAGATGATTGATCCACGGATAACTCTCTACAGGACAACAAAAAGAGGTGGTTCGAAGGCCCGAAGAAATGTGTGCTTGTGGTCTTGACCCTTGTTGTTACTTATGATTTGTTGCAAGAATGGAAAATGCACAAAAGCTAGAAAGATTTTTTTATTCTATGATTAGAAAGGGCATAAAACCTATTGTAACTATCTACGGCATTCTTCTTCACGGGCCATTTGCCTGATCACCTAGATCTGATGGTAGCAAATATGATTTTCTTTTTTACGTTGTCAAACACTAAATCATTCTTGTTCCAATTCCAATCAATCATCTCCATGCATGTCAGTGTGACACCTATTAATTTAATTACAAATTCACTGTCCCTCGAATGAATCGCCATCGATCAGCACATCAGCTCTCCGCAAAACTATGTCGCGCAGGAGCCACCATTTCCATTTGGCACGGCGCTGTCAGTGCTTAGCTAGCTGCAGCTCCCGGGACCGGGAGCACCTGAGCCTCTGTCCGGCCGCCATGCCGAGACCGAGTAGAGTGGCCACGAGCTCCAGCACAGGAGAAGGCAACCGCTGTGCTCTCTGCTGCTCGCCGGCGCCGCGCACCCGCTCAGGCCGCACCTGTGGAGCACGTCATTCCCCTGCCTCATCGCGACGTAGCTCAGCGGCACGCTCCTGAACCCGCCCAGCTCCATGCGCGCCGCCCACCGCTGCAGCCGGTCGTGGCGCTCGCGCCGGTGCGCGCCCTCGCGCAGCAGCACGTCCCGGATCTCCTCCCCGAGCACCGCGCGCTCCACCTCCGCCAGCTCGGCGGCCGGCCGCCGGTACGCCTCGGCGGCCTTGTCCAGGCTGTCGTACACCGCGGAGTAGTACCCCAGCGCCTCACCGAAGCGCTTCCGGAACGAGACGCCGCCGTGGCTGGCCTCCTGCTCCGTGACCACCACGACCTCGGGCGACAGCGCGCGCGCCGCCGACAGGAAGCTCGCCAGCGCCGGCGGCATCTGGAGCTGGGGAGTCGACAGAGGCGGCGAGACGAAGCCCATCAGCGTGGCCGGGCTGCTGTCGCTGTCGTCGTCGTGGCCACGGCCGCCGCACGCGCCGACGCTCGGCGGGCACGAGGTGGACGCCATCTGCTGCATCCGCGCGGCGCTCGCCGTCTGGTTGAAGCGGTGGCCGGTGCTGAAGGCACCCGCGGGGTCGTCGGGGGCCGCGAGGAGGCGGTGCAGCTGCAGCGTGCACACGACCGCGCGCGCCTCGCCGGACTTCAGCCCGAGCACGCCGTGCAGGTCGGCGGGATCCAGTGCCTCGATCTGGCCGACGACGCGGTGCACCTGGAATGGCACGTCGAGCGCCTCGGCCTCGTCGGTGAGCAGCTGTGATATGTTGGCAAGGAGGTCCCCGTCGTCGTGCACGATGGTGAGGCGCAGGTGCGGTGGCCCTCCTGGGCGACGGTGGAAGTCGTGCAGGAGCTTGATCCATTGGCATGGCTGCGCGGTAGGCCCCGCAAAGTCGATGATGTGGACATTCTGATCACCGTGAAAGTGAAACAATTTTGTTACTGTTATATATATAAATAAAATAACCTCGGTTAAAAATGATAACTTTGACTTAGGACCAGTTTGGTAGGCAACGGTTCCTTTTTAAAATAGCTTCGGCTCTGTCCGCTCTGTTAGGGTAGAAGTTAATTTTTAGAAAAGAAAAATATTTGGCAAAAACAACACTAGTGATAATTTTATTGTAATTTCTGTTAAGATTGTGACTACTTTCATATCCAAAACAGTCACTGCATTTTTTATATTTCCTAAGCATGCCATATGTTTATGACCATTTGTATGAATAATATATTCACATATATAAAAAACAAACCGACAAAGTTGAATATTTAGTCAAAGTTCCTGATTACCGTAAAGCGAAAGGTTAGCAAGTACTGTACTTATTTCTTCGTAAATAATAGTGCTAATGACCCATCTTTGAGACTAATTCCAGTTTTTGGTAGGGTTTAGCACAAGGCCGTCAATTATCTTTAATTTTGGAGTAGCTCTGTTCGATCGTTGGACTAAGCCAAGGCAGAACCTTTTCGTTCTCCATGGTCTCAAGGATGGCTCGGTTGGCGACGGCGACGGCGGCCCTGGGAAACGGGCTGAGCTCGAAGAAGCTGCGCCGCGCCGCGCGGACGCAGCGCGGGTCGAGGTGGTCGGAGGGGTCGATGAGCGCGTCGGCGACGGCCGGGGCCATGAGCCGGACGAGGCGGCGCGCCAGGGCATCGGCCATGGGCACGGCGAGGCGCCGCAGCGGGCCATCGCCTGTGGCGGCGGCGATCCCGGTGGCGCACGCCAGGCACCGGCCGGCCCGCTCGATGGCGCCCGCCTCCACGTGGCCCGCGCACCTGCACAGGTCCCGCACCAGGTGCTCCTGCTGCGACAGCGGCGGCAGCGCCGGCGGCGCGCACATGGACACGTCGTCGTAGTCGTTCTCGGTATGAATAGGACGATGCATCGCAGAGGACGATGGCGACGTCGTTGTGTGCACTGTGTACATGCAATGTGTATCAGCTACACGCTACAGTTGAGTGGTTGGACTGGGAGCAGGGACTGCAAGTTCACGCTCGTGCCGTATTTATACACAGGTCAGGTGATACGTATATGGGGATGCTTGTGTTATACACAGTTCATAATGTAGCGTGCACAAAAACTAACGGCCAGGAGTGGAACTCTTGTATTGTATTATAAACTCTTTCTTCTAATACAATAATATGCACACTCGTGCGTATTCGAGAGAAAAAAAAGGCGGCGCCGGCGAGAACAAGAAATACTAGGGCTTTTTCTTGGAGGAGATGATGGTAGGGGATTTGGACGTACTGAACCAAGCATCTGAGCAAACTAGGAGAGGTAGATGCAGACAAGCAAGTAGCTTAGCTTCGTCGTAGTATTGGAGTATATCGGATATCCTAAGCTTGCTGGCATTGGAGATGAGGACAATTCCGTACGTCTTGTGTTTTTCGTATCCATTTGGAAGCAACGGACAAATTTACTTTGTGGTCATCCTCCTAGGACTATGGAGCTAAGAATATATAGTCTCTCTAGATGGAATTTCGTCCTTGTATTGTACGTCGTGTATAGTTTCCAAGAAGAAGTATCCATACACCTGGCCGCCATGCTTGGAACTTCCTGGGATCGTGTTGCATGGTGATGCGTAAGTCAGGGACATGCAAACTCCATGCATCCGATTCACATATGCGTCCTAGATGCGTTTGGCAGGATTCGAGATTACCGTAGACACATTTTGAATCTAGATTTTTTTAAAAACATTTAATTTCTCTGGTGAGTTGGAATCACTTCATCAAACTGTTTGACTATCTATATCTATATCTATACTTAAAAATAAAGAGGCAAAATTTCCACCTCTTTTTTGGTCCATTTGTTTTGGTCTGGCCTCCCTAACTACTTCTACGTGTTTTCATAATGTCTCTATTCATGTCAATGACCCTCCTATATTTTATAGATATGCCGAGCTAAGAATCCTAATCATAATTCAAATAGATTCCCTAGATCCTAAGCTGAATAGCGTACTATAAGGAAAATGGACCCTAGGCCCATTTACTTTAGATTTTGGTGTTCGATGACCAACACAACCAAGTTGAACTAATGAATTTGCAAGTGATTGTTTTGTAGTTCAATAGAGTGCAAGACGTGACTTGAACGAAGGCGACGTGATGATCCGATGATCAACACCTTAAGCAAGACCCTAGAAGCACAAGAGAAGACCCAAGATATAAAGCAAAGTCCAAGCACAAAGATAGGAACCAAGCCGGACGCTGGCGGCAAATCGACCGGACGCAGAACTGCAGCGTCCGATCGAGTACAGAAAGGTTCCAGAGCAGCGAAATTGCGACCGGACGCGTCTAGTGGCATGTGACCGGACGCTGGCAGCGTCCGATCAGTTGATCACGGCTCTAACGGTCGAGACGACCGGACGCATTCGGTCAGTACGTGATCAGCGTCC